AAAGAGATACTACACGCCTGAAGATCGCTCAAATAACCCCTTTCACATAGAAAGCGTTCAAACGAACTACATTTCTTAGTTCCACAAAGTTCTAACCTTCCCAATTAAGACACGCCATGCCACGCCCATTCTAGCGAACCACCCTTATTCCCTTCGTATTCCATTAGTGCGATGTAAGTTCCAATTGAGCGGCTTCTTCCCAAGAACCGCTTCTTTTGTGGAAGCAACTCCCAAGACTATATATCCCTGATCAGTAATCTTAACCAGCTGAAGACTTTGGATAACCAATATCTTCCGCGTATATCTGTGTCGCTTAATCTGTAACCTTATATCTTGAGCGGCTTTGGACATAATTTTTTAAAAAATGTTAAAATGACAGCTGTGCAGGTATTCTTTTGTGCCTTTTATTCGATTTTACTGACACATATAGCACAAATCTGAGTTTCATGCACAACACAATAGTCAGGTGCTGGACGACTGTGTTGTGCCTGAAACTAACGGTGGGAAAAAATGTATATTTATTATTAATATAAATTACGACTATGTTATTATACATTGGGCACTATTCTATTTTCACCAACACTCAATAATGTATAAATAGATATTATATATATATGTGTGTGTGTGCGCGCGCATGTGTGCGTGTGTGTGTGGGGGAAAGATGTATGACAGAGTAGAAAAAAATTTCCTGCGACGCGTTTCGTTCCTTAGGACTTCATCGGATGGGACGAAACGCGTCACAAGAAAACTTTTTTCCACTTTGTCTTACATCTTTTTTCAAATACTGTTTTTGATACATAAAAAATTCTATATCGTTATCCCATATATATATATATATATATATATATATATATATATATATATATATATATAGTTTAATTTATATGAAGAGATATGTAGATATATTGTGCAATTTATAATATCTTTATTTATCGCGCAAGATAAATTTACTCGAGAGAGGGAGATAGGCAGATATAAATATTTAAAATCCACCGTCTGAAGTGTTTGTCTTTCTACAAGTATTCAGAATTAATGGCTTGAAATTCTTGGAGTTTAGTCGTCGTCGATACAAAAAGCTGCTCTCAAATGACTCAGATGGATTCCAGGATTGATATTTGGTTTAATGGTCATTAAAGTGGTGAAAGGTTCTAACGGCTTTATGGAATGCAAACTAGTCTTCTTTTAATAAACATCCACTGACAGATTTATTTTTACTCCAGTGGTAGTGGAGACTTCTGGGGTCATTGGCGCTCGTTCGATGGCGTTCCTTCGGAGGGTTAGCGGGATGGCCTCTCGATTAAGGAACGACACTCGTGAAACGGAGTGGCTCTTGCAGCGTGTCTCACCGGCGATGGTGCGCGGTAATGCTTTCTCCATCTTTGCGACTGGCAGACGATAGCAAAAAAAAATGCTTTTGTTTATAGATACTGTGTTCAAATAAAAACTTTGTTTCAATTCAATCAATCAGAGTGTGTAATGCAAAAAGAAGAAGAAGAAGAAGAAGAAGAAGAAGAAGAAGAAGAAGAAGAAATGGAATGAAAGACAATGATAATTCAATAAGTCTCTTCAATGTGAAGTGGAATGGAAAAAGTGTCAATGAAAATGGAAGAATGTATTTTTTCTATAATTTCGTTTTTCGCTTTTTTTTTTTTTTTTTTTTTTTATTGATACGGTTAATCCAAAACAAAATGCATCTTTTTGAGTGGATTAATTATGATAAAAAATTCTATTAAAAAGGCATAATGTCTTTATCGACAGTTTGAATATAAATAATCAACGTTATTTTATTCTTTATAGGCAATTTTTTTCTTTCTTTTCACTTACCAGTGCCGGCGATCTTTTCTTTTTTATCTTTCTTCTTTTTCGTCTTCATCTTCATTTCTTTCCTTCTTTTCTTTCTGTTTAATTTTTCATTTATTCTTCTTTATTTTATTGTTTAACCTATATTTATTTTATAACCATACGTCGAGTCATAACCAACGACATAGTCTAAGCGAAGGACGAGGCTTTTTGTTGTTTTCACATAATTAAACAAAAGACAACTATTAACGTAAAAACAAATCTTAAATGGACAAAGCTCTTCGCAGGATAACCTAACCCTAATCCTTCCAATGTCATGCTTGGCTTCAGAGGATTTATGCACTTACTGGAAGACACACTCATTGGTTTACTCCATTAGTTGGTCGCCGACACAGTGGTCTACATCTTTAAGAAGTTTAACTATGTATGGTACAATTTTATAGATGTGGGTTACACTGTGAGGATGGAAGTCACTATACTGTAGAGATGATTTCTGGACGGGCTTGTTCATTATGAGGTACCGTAAATCTAAATGTCCTATTGATTAAAAAATTTAGCTTTATATAACGAAAATAATAATTTAAATATGAATCTAATATTCCAAACATTACGATGAACTGTTCTTTATGCTTTATTTCTTTAACACCATGTCACCTCAGGACATTGGTTATCCTGACTTTCCAGACTCCCGTCTGTTTTCGTATCGATGTTTTAGATTATCATTAAACTTAATCTTGAGAAATAAACAAATAAAATAAAACACCGGGGTCGCTAACCTTGCCTAACAGCCAGTCTAGGAGAAAGATTATTATGCACACAGAAGCGTGGAGGAAGCCATTGGAATCCAATCCAGTGTCTTTCCTAAGAAGTCGTGGCAATTTACAGATAGTAAAAGAAAAGGGATATGTGACATTAAGTAACGTTTTCTTCTTTATTATTATTATTATTATTATTATTATTATTATTATTATTATTATTATTTCCTTTGATTTCTGGTGTATATTCATTTCTTTCCGAGTCTAGCCAGAGACCTAAGGTCAGAAATGGCATTATGACATTTCCACTGACCTACTAAAAAAAAAAAAAAAACACATATTTTACATAAATAAAAACCTTCATAAGGTGTGAGCTGTACTCGTGAGAACATTTTTTGTATTTCTTTAAGGCATGGGCTACCAGGAATCCCTTCAATGAATCTATGGGAATATTTTGGAAAATCAATCCGAGGGCTCCAAATACAACAGGGATAGTTGATGTTCTCATGTGCCGCATTTTTGAGATTTCGATATCAAGTTCCTTGCATTTTGACAGCTTTTCGGAGATCTTCAAAGACACAGTACAGTCTGCAAGGATTGTACTAATCAATAAGGAGGCATTTTTTTTCGGTCTCTAATCACGATGTCTGGGCGATTAGCTATGATTGTTCTGTCTCTGTGTATAGTGTAGTCCCATAAAATTGTTACAGGTCCTATCTCCGTAACCAGTTCTGGGTGTTGCTGTTGTTGCTGTTATTATTATTATTATTATTATTATTATTATTATTTCTGCTATGGACACACTACCTACCAAGTCTGCGGAAAGACCTAAGGCAGGTCGTGGTGTGTTGTTATGGCCACATTTCATGTTAATTTTTTTTTTTTTTTTTTTTTATCTCCGATGAAGTTGCTAGCGTTACATAGACAAAGTTCTCCTTAGTGTGTGTGCTGTACTTAATAAGACAATTTTCTGTATGTGTCTCTTAAGCTGGGGTTTCAGGGATTCTTTCAATGTGTTGTTTTGTTCCATTTTTATAATTCCAAGTGCACCTATTACCACTGGTATTATTCTTGTTTTCAATTTCCACATTTTTCTATTTCAATTTCCAGGTCTTTTGTATTTTGATAGTTTTTCAAATTCCTTGGTTGCTATGTTACAATCCGCTGGACAAGCCATATCAATTAGTAGGCAAGTTTTTTCTTTCTGGTTTTTGACAATAATGTCCGGCCTATTTGCTTCAATTTTTTTCTGTCTGTGTGGATGGTATAATCCCATAGAATGGTGACATCTTCTATTTCTGTAACCGGCGCTGGCCGATGTTCATACCAGTGTTTGCTTACACATTTTCCAAAGTGTTTGCACATTGTCCAGTGTAAGTATTGCCCCACTCTATCGTGACGATTTTTATATTCATTTGGGGCAAGTATAGAACATCCTGAGATTAGATGGTCTATTGTTTCTTGGTATTTGTCACAGAACCTGCATTTTGGATCCACATTATTATGTATGATATTTGCCTGAAAATTCCTAGTGAAAAGACTCTGGTCTTGTGCTGCAAGAATAAAGCCTTCAGTTTCAGACTTTAATCCAGATGCTCGTAACCATCGATGAGTATTAACTTTATCAACATTGGGTTTATTTGCACGTTCTGGATATTGGCCATGCAGAGGTTTGTCTTGCCAGCGTTGTTTCATCTGTTCAAGGGCTTTATCCTTGGCTTTTTTTTTCATATCTTTTGCTGCAATAGTTGGTTCTTGGCTTCTGTTTTGATTTACTACAGAATCTACTAAATGTAAATGTTGTTTGTATTTACTGCCTTCTTTTATTATTGAATATTTTTTCTTTCTGTTTTCATGTTGTTTCACTAATTTTATCATCCAGTCATTTGTTGTTTCCATGTAAGTTAGTAAGCCAATAGTTGTTGTCTTGTATGACAATTCTAGCTGAATAAGACCTCTTTTATTATTATTATTATTATTATTATTATTATTATTATTATTATTATTATACTGTTAAATAGAATAATGAATAAAAAAAAATTAAAACGTAAAAATTATAGGAAATCTAAGAAATTCTTTTATAAATAAAATCTTTCAGACTTTGGTTTATAATAAAAAAAAAACAAGTCATCATTCAAGTCTATTATCTCCCTTTATTATAAAATGAAAAGAAAGATAAAAACCAAATAAACTTTTATTCTTTGAATTAAAGTTGAATTCCTTAAAAATTCCCCAGTTGTTCATATATCGGTTATATGTAACGAAGAGTTGTCTCCCTTCATGGTTTATTTACATTTTTATCACAGAGCAAAAATGATATGAATTCTTAATGTTTATAAACATTGAACAGGCAAACAGGTTATTTATTTTAAAGAAATTCATTTTATTTAAATAAAAAGGAAGATAATGGCGCAAACTTGACTCGATTTTTGTTTTTACTTCCAGTATTGGGATGAAGTCAGGAGATGCGAAATTTGTTGGAGCCTGGTGGATTGGTTTCCTCTTGAGTGGGATGATAGCGCTGACCATCTCTTTGCCAATGTGTGGCTTTCCGCGTGAGTTGCCAGGTAAGCAATTTAAAACACTTTTTCTTTTTCAGATTTCTTTCACCGACTTTATCTCTTCATCGTCGGCGAGTGATCGGCGTTTGCATATCTCTACCTCCATCAAAATGTTTTTTTCAGAAATACAAGAATAAGAAAAAGGAGTAGAAAAATATTTCTTTTTAATATAAACAGACAAATTTGGGCCAGATTAATAGATGCGTAGAAACCGGGTGATGTAATATTCCATGAATTGTTCAGATGAGTTTCCTCATGATTGTAACATTTACCACATTTGTTTACGATGTATATTCCGGCCATGCACAGGTGTATTTTACATCTTGTAATCATTGAACATGTGAAGATTAATGGTTAAAATGCTCTGAAAATGGAATCGGCATGCCGAGTTCAAATTTCGGTCGTGACATTTTGTGTTTATTTTGTAATTTATTTTAAAAAAAGGTATGAGTTTTTTCCGACCCTCGCCTGTGAGTATAATAGAAAATTTTGCTAGTTTTTTTTTTAATGTCCTCTCCCTGCCCAGTGTAGACGATCATGGCTCTCCACGGATCCTTGTCGAGAACTGACATGACTTCTTAGGAAAGACAGTCGATTAGTTTCCTGTTACCTTCTCCATGGTTTTGAATGCAGAATAGTATTTCTCCTATACTGGCTTCCAGCCAAGGCTGTCTAACCCAGTCTACCGTTTTGCTAAATCAAGCTTAGTAATAGTTTAACACATCACAGAAAAATGACTACAGAAAAATGACTACAGGAAAGAACAATATGCTTGTTTCTTGTGTTTAATAATTAATGGAATTTCTTCGATTAAAAAAGGTACAATGTATTGGAAGAAATGTTCTAGAGAAGCTCTTTGCAATAATTTGGATGATTTGCAATAAGATTATCCGAGCCGACATTTCAGTAGCCCCTAAAGACCGTGCCAAAAACGAACTGCTATCCTCTAGTTTTACAAGAGCCAGATCAGGCCAAAAATGGAGTACTGTTGTCATATTTGGGCAAAAGTTGCCCAGATCTCACTCTTCAGCACTGATAGAGTTCAAAAGCATCTCCGAGCCCTTGTGGGTGATGAATTATTTTCCACCCTTCAGCCTCTCTCCCACAGGTGGGATGTGGCAAACTCTACCGCTACTTCAACGGAAAGTGCTCGGACGAACTACATTCCCTGGTCTCACCAAGGCAAATCTTTACAGCAAGAACTCGCTATGCTGTGAGAAGTAAGTTCGAATCGAGCAGCTTCTTCCCGCGAAACACTGCCTTGTGGAACCGACTCCCTACAATCTTAACCTGTTCAAGGCTCGGGCTAACCCACTCCTATATACACAAATGTTCTCCAAACGTAACTCCGAGTGACCTTGTAAAGGGTGAACTTCACTGTAAAAATAATTTAATGCTGTTTAATCTGAAGATTAAAACCATTTGTAATGATTTTGAATTTGACGGTGGAATAAAAGGCGAAAGTAAAAGTGTTATTGCCGGGAGCTACGTATTTGGTTCATGGTTTAAGCGGTCACATTTCATCAACCAAATATATTAAATTTCTTTTTAGAGCTGCGAACTACTACAGAAATATCCGTCTTCTGCTGCTTAGACTCGTAAGATAAAGATTTTAAACTTCACGTTGTTTGAAAGCAATATTATTACCAGGAGGCTAAACCAACACACCTATTACTTATGGGTGGAAATAAGAATGTCTTTATTTTCATTTTCTTTAAATAAAGTCTGAAAGATGGGTGCTAATAAGCATAACTACCTTAAGGACTAATTGAGTTCTGTTCTCCTAACATCTGCGCCTGAACTCGGAAATTATATTCATTAACCATTTTTTTCATTGTATTTTTTTTCTCTCATTTCCACTGGTAGGAGTAGATAGATTCGCCTATCGTCCGGTTCATACCCACCCCCGGTCTTTTGAACAGGAGGAGGGAGTTTTCACTTGTTTCTTATTTAGGATTGGGTTTCCGGTTCCTTCTAAATTCTGCTTCAGCTCTATACTCTGAACGCTTGTCCTTTCCTGCGTTAATAAAATGACAATATTTTTTGTTAAGATGTTTGACGATAGGAGAAAACACAAAAAATTGGTACCTTTCTCAAAAGCATTAAAGCAAAAAGAACATTACCAATGTCTGCTGAAATTCGAATTCAATCCGATTATTACCTTTTATTATCTTGACCAGCCATCATTAAGCTACGCTGCGCCCTAAAACAACTTAAAAATATGTCCAATTCTTGATCCTTCTGTAATATTGGTAATGATTTTATTAGATTTAAAAACAAAATTATCCGTGCATGAAGGTGACGTAATGGTTATCAATAGAGAAAAGGGAAATAACCGTGCAGTGTTCAAATTCTAACTGAGACCGTTTCCTTCATCAGTGCCTTTGGAAAAAGCACGAATCCATCTTCCCTCAAATATAGGATAGGCTAAATGACAGAGCAGAGTTACCAATCTATAAGCATTGCTAATATTGGGATTAGGACAAGAGGGGGCCGTGTCACCTACTTTACATCTTTGTCTAGATTTCCCCAAAACTTTTATGCACTATAATGTAGACGTACAGTAACGACAACAACTGAAAGGGCAGAAGTGTACAACACCTTCTTTATTCTTCAGATCTTGCTACATCTGTTTCTCCCTATTCCAATTTGCAGTCTTATAAAAGATCCCGCAACGAGCAATTTATTTCCAATATGCTTTCATGCCCACAAGTGCTGTATGTATATAGCCGCCCGTACAGTACTACAAATCTGGATATTTTCATTAGATAGATTTTTTTTAATACTGTTTTTTTAACTAACAAAAGACTGGATTGCCCCAATTTAAATGATTTGCCATCCTTACAAAACCTATCTTTAATTTAGCTTCACAAAGCCGAGCCATTTTTTTTGTTTTCTCAAAATATTTTTACATGAATTGTCATCTGGCACTCTAGATTCAATTTCTTCTTTTGTCTAACTTCTCTGGTTGGAAAAAAAGATTTTTTTCTGTCATCTAGGAACTAGACGAAAACCCCAATTCTTCTACAGACCATTTTACTATCATTCAAATAACATTGGCCGCAACAAATTTCTCCGTTACATCTGTTTTTGATGTGAATATCGTGATAACCAATGAGGCTAAAAAGATTCCAACATTTGAAGGCAAATTCATATCAAGTAACAGTAAGTAACTACCTTAATGTCGAAAAGTTAAAATTTCGCAATCAAGCTCGTAGTAAAATGTCAAATGTTGTCTTAGGTTACAGAGGTTAAAAGGTCATTATTTCTTTTTGTTTCACATCAAAAACGTCGGTAGATTTTTAAATTAGGTCTTTAGTGGGTTATTTTTCTTTATAAAATATTAAAAAGTTGTTTTATTTTTTATTTATTTTTTATTTTTTGAAAATAATATCTTAGAGGTTCGAGAGCAAAGAAACATTTCTAAATGAAAGCCTTTCCATTAGATAACTGATAAACTCACGCGCGCCTATATATATGAAATTAATGCGTCAACGCAAAATTATCTTAAAGTCAACGTAACTATCGGCGCATGCGTTATATACTGCATTGTACGCGTAAATTACGAGTAAATGATCGACCTAGAGTAAATTAGAGTAAATATAAGCTGTTTCTCATCCGACAAACATGAGATTGCAGATGCGAAAACAGGAAGTTAATTACCATATAGGGATTGAAAAAACGTAAGGTGTTCATTATTAATGATCATATATATATATATATATATATATATATATATATATATATATATATATGGAGAGAGTGTGAGAGAGCAATATATATGTGTGTATATATATATATATATATATATATATATATATATAGAGAGAGAGAGAGAAGGTTCATCCGTTATATGCAAGCTTTGCAGATACACTGTCAGCGTTTATCTACGGAACTTGAAGTCGGAATATGATAAGTCTTCTAAACTTTCATTCATCTATTTTGTTCCGCTATTTTTTAAATATTGAATACTTTGTTTAAAAATCTGCTCGCCTGGACTACGTCTTTCGTCAAACAATAATGATGTTTATCATATATATATATATATATATATATATATATATATATATATATATATATATATAGAGAGAGAGAGAGAGAGAGAGAGAGAGAGAGGTAAAATGCGAACAAATGGTGTATAAATTTCTAGGATTTATATGCAGACATCTTCATATCATGACCGAAAGAAAAAAAAAAAGAACCTTATTTTTCGTGAGTTCGAATTTAACATAGGTCACATTCAATTAGTTAATTACGGTAAAGCTCAATTACGTTTTTGTTTTCTCTAGAAACAAAAAAGAGGAAGTATTTTGCTTTTGAAATTAAAATAATCGTTCGCTCGCCAGTAGTTTCCCATCGCCCGAGGAGACACGTTTTTAGTGTTGAAATATAATTATGTAGCGGTTTTTAACATGTTTTTTTTTTATGTTTTTGGTTTAATAAATCCTGCCACATTCTTATTTATTAAACAGCGTGCATTACGTCTATCGATCTGTGCATTCGAAAAAATCTTCATAAAGAAAATGTGCTTTCTGGCTAAAATTGAACACCATTGTAGGAGGAACTACTATTTGATCCGTTGTACTTAACCACTTGGTGATGAAGGCCATTATACTTAAGCAAGGCTCGATTTTCCCGTTTAATACAAGTAAACATTATAATAATATTGGGTGCAATACAAACGTCGGGTTAAAAATAAATCCATTAATTTTTAGAAATATATGCATGTATGTATGTATGTATGTATGTATGTATGTGTGTGTGTCTGTGTGTCCTTTACATCATCGATGCGGAAAGAAACTACAAGAACTTCTAAACAAATTGGTAGAAGAAAGCGAGATAAAAGGACTATCAACTGCAAGAAGACAGGAAGTATGGTCGTCAGTATAAGAATAAGATGCGAGTTACGTATTGGAAATGACAACATCAAGCAGGTGCACAAGTTCAAATATCTGAAAAGTGTTTTAATAGAGGATGGAAAATGTGACACCGAGATCCGAACACGA